ATTCCAACCATGAGAAACAAGTGCTTCCAATTTCTCTGCTTCCAGTTTCTCTAAGTGACATGTTTTGAATGCCTTCTTTAGCCTCGAGTATGTTTTTAGCAGAAGTTAAGGGGTGGATTTGATGTCACTCTTCACTAAGTAAATAACTCCTTTTTCACTCTTTGCCTCAAAAACCTCCAGTTTTTCCAACACACTCAAAAACAGATCCAGTTATTTCTGTGTCGTACAAAATCCTACATCATCTGCACACCCCCATTCCAGCCTCCCGACACCCATCTGATCTTATTTTCCAACATTCTATCTGTTGTACACTCCAGTCCAGTCCTACTAGATTCACTGGCTCTTCAACAAGCCAAGCACATTGTTGCCTCTTTGCCTTTACACCTCTTGTTCCCTCTGCTCAGAAGCTCCTCTGGGCTTGCTACATCCCTTCTTTCAAATTTCATGGAAGAACTGGGCTTTCTCAGACCACCAACCTGACATATGATATACTTATGTGTTTCTTTACTGTCCCTCTTCTCCAAGAAAAATTTAAGTTTTATGCAAAAAGGGGCTTTATCTCTCTTGTTCACTGATGAATATAGAACAGTGCCTGACCTATAGGAGGCATTTAATAAATATTCACTAAATATTTAGTGAGAGTTTCTAAAACTTTCCCAGAATTCTGTTTATTTTTGGTCGTTTTAGGTGATGAGTCAATGTTAAAGAGGAGTTTTATCCTCAGAAATCAATAGAATCTTGATGTTCCCTTTAGAAATGAAATACCACTTTTAAATGGAGGACTTCAGTATCTGTCATCCTGCTTGGAGCTGTAGTGCAAATTCCTATACAAGAGGGAAACCCCATTCAACATTCTTTTGTACTTGAGGTACTAATGTAGCTCACTGACATTTCTGTCTACCCCAGGTCTCTTCTACTCTAACCTGTCAGGTTATTAATTCTAATGGGGCTTTATATTCTGGCAGTGACAACACTGCACAATCATACTATTTTACTATCAAACTCAGCATGGTATCTGAGGGACTCCATAAACTTTTTTCTTTTATTTAAATTTCCCTCCTTTACTGCTATGTAGCTTATTCATTCATCAAATTGGTCACATTACTCTTCGATACACACGTAGGATGATTCGCACCCCTTACTTTTGTTTATGTTGATTTTCCTGCCATTTTTTTCCCATCCGCATTCCCGAATTCAAGTCCATAGCAATTTGTCCCATGAGACCCTCATTGTTTAGTCTAGAAGACGGTGATCTTTGCTTATGTGTTTTTATAATATCTGTAGCCCAAACACATTTAAACACTTGACTTTCCATTGCTGTATTACATTTACATGCTTCATGTATGCATGTTTTATATCAACTATTACCCAAGGGCACACATTTCATCTTTTGATTTTTCACCTATTACAAGTTATGCTAAACATTCTGATAGATAATTAAATATTCAATAACTCGATTTGAGAGTTGAGAGTTAATATTGTCATCATACAACATTTATTTAATCCTATATTAAAAGTTACCTGATTGTTTGTAATAGCCATAATCTGGAAGAATTTAAGTGTTACATAAATAATTGACAGAAATAACCAAGTTGAATAGAGGAAAAAAAAAGGTCTTTGTAAACATGATCAGGGAATCTAGATCCCCATCTAGATTGATATCTTAAAGTATATGAAGATTTTTTTCCTTTTGGCTCAAACATGACCATTTTGACGAAATGTAATAAAATATTAGAATAAAATGTTAAAGAGTGCCAACGGGAACCCTAATTCTTCATAAAAATTCTGTCTGACCTGTAACATGTTAATATTCACCTGTATAAGGGTAGGTGATAAAGAAATGATTTTTCCCCTACTCCTTTCTATCTTCAGTGTTATTTTGTACTTCTCAAAGAATTGAAAGTGATGATTATTGTGGTGGTGGCCACAGTAGTATATAGTCATAACAGAAGTAGAATAGTAAATCTACGAACAGTGTGACCTAATTAAAAAAAATAATAACTCCAACTAAAATGCCTGAACAGTCAGTGAATCCATGTATCAAAATATGTGTAGATATAGTGGTTTTCATCAGAAACTTTATTAAGGTAGCTTAAATTTTAGTCCCTAGTGTTCTGGGAGTTACATAAACTCCAATCATGACTTTATGAACAAATCAACCCAAAAAATCCATTCAAGGACTTACGGTTGGTTTATTTTTCTGCATGAGCATACAACCTTGACTAATCTATACCAAAAATGTTCAGCTTGTTTTCCCAGTATTTAACGTTCATTCCTATGGTATAAGAATGTTTCTTCTATTTTATTTATAAACATTAAAAGGAATGAAACCATCAATCCAGTTAATAATGGTGCATATTTCTCAGAGATGTCTTTCATTCAAATCAGCAACCAAAAGATTTTTCAGTGTATTCTCTTCGGTTCTAATGAGAGATGAATAGGTGTTAAACTTGTTACTCTTCTTTGATCGTTTACCTTCATGTACCTGACTCAGATCCTCAAAAGCAAAACTGCTCATGTTATCACTAAAAATATAAGCAGTCTCACTTCACACCTATTCTCTGCTAGAAGAAGAAGTTACAATGGTGTGGTATTCTACATGGTGTTTTCTAGACTTTACTAATTCACCGGCTTTTGTAGAGAAGTCAGACCCTTGAATGTCACTTAAATGTAGCCTTTCCTGTAGGTGAATATGCAGTGAATACAAAAGAGGTATCTGGAAAATGTGGAATTAATTTTGAGAGTTGGATAAAAGACCTTAGAATAATAATGGTGACTATACAAGTCACCTATGAAACTGTTCTCTTGTAGGTGACATTAATTTCCTATCTACAGAGTCTTATTAGTGAATGTGTTATGTTTGTACCCCCAAGAAAATGAAATAATTTTCTTTTTTTTTTAGCAGTCTATTAAAATGTCAAGGTTTATCTTGACTGCTGCTTTTTAATGTAAATGTTTGGGCTTAATTGAATTCCTAATATATGATGTCACTTGGAATTCTGATAGGGTCCAGTAGTTTTGCCTGTAAAGATATATTTCTTCTTAAAATGAAAGGTATAACAAAAATACCATGTAACACAGTGACAGAAAAGTGGTCACATAAGTTATTGTAAGACTTTTATTGTAAAAATACTTTAAAGTATAGAGATTAAGTTTATGTGTGCTTGCTCTCCTCCAAAGTACCTACTGGAATGTTTTCTATATAAAAATGCTCTATAACTATTTCTAATTGGTTAATTGTTATAGTTGGAAACTGTAGAATTATAAAACTAGAATTAATCTTGAGTGTCAAAGTTCCACCCCTTTTTTTGAAAATAATGAGAATAAAAATAATTATTATTTTATATTTACTTAGTGTTTTACATTTAGTAGGCTTTCTTTGCCATGCTAAATTGCAAGAATATGTCATATCCAAATCTCTGGGGCTTTATTAAAATTTTTAACTATTCTGCTTACAGAGCTTATTTTAAAAATGCTAAAGATAGTATGGGTGTGTAGTCTAGGCTGTATCATTCTGGCAAGTAGTCCTAAGTGCAGAATTAAAGTTCTATAGCATTAACCTGAGAGTAAATCATTTTACTCAGGGTTGATTCCTAGTGGACAGCTTGATGTTATGATTTCATTTATTTCAACAAATGAAATACTAATAGATCATTGAAAGTGCAATAAAGTTTTGGTCAGATATTATGCCCTTATTGTATACCAACCTCCCCCCAGAAAAGTATACTCATATTTAGAATGAAATTGTTGCTCAACTTTTAAGAATCAAGCATCCCCGAGAATATGATGATGTAAAGATACTTGTTATGGGAATTTCCAATCCTCTATTTCTTACCACAAAACAAACCAACTATGATATTTAAAGAATTATTAGAGGGGCACCTGGGTGGCTCAGTAGGTTAAGCATCTGCCTTCAGCTCAGGTCATGATCTCAGGGTCCTGGGATCCAGACCCATTTAGGGCTCCCTGCTCAGCAGGGAGTCTGCTTCTCCCTCTCACTTTGCCCCTCCCCCCTGCTCATGTGCTCTTTCTCTCCTTCTCAAATAAATAAATAATCTTCAAAAAAAAAGAATTTTTAGAGAAACAAATCTGTTTGTGTCAGTCAAAAATTAAGATATGTCAAAGTAAAGTGTATTTGGAGGGATTTTGTATCAAGTTTATCACTTGATATAATTTATAAATAATAAATTTATCGACTTTTTTTACCAATTGGTAAGTTTTTCCACTGATAACAGGATTTTGTCAATTTGGGCATTTATTTTGGCTACAAGTAACAAGACACCCAACAACAGAGGTTTAAGTTCCAGAGATTGTGTATTGTTGCTGGCATTGGTTCAGCTGCACCAAATAACATGGTGGCCTCTCTTGGTGATTCTTACGATCTTTCTCAAGTGGCTGCAAGATGATTGCTAAGGTTGCAGACATCATGTTTAGCAAAAAAAGAAAAGGGGCAGGTGATGGCCGTGCCAAGAAAGCTGAAATTGCCTAGGAACCTTCAGAGGCTCCCGCTGTGGTTTTCTAACACATGTCTAGGAGCAGCTTTGTGTGAGCTGGGAAAGGAAGACAAAAGAGAAGGTGATTTTAAGTAGAGATGAGGTCTGCCACATGTTCTAATTTCCACCTTATCATATTACTTGTGTCTTACTTTTCCCAATCCAACCAAATTCTTCTGTTGGTTTTCCTGATTAGACAAAACAATGGTACTTTCTTCTTGTCTCTGTAATTTAAAGTGGGAGATCACTGGATTCCTGTCATGTGTTATCCTCCCAAAAGCTTACATGGTTTTCATCGATTCTCTAAACATATTTTATGGTAGTAGCATCTATGAGCATACATATATTATATATATATATTCTTTTGCTTCAGCTTCTTAATTATGAAGTTGTTGACAAAATGGACCTTTTGACGAATCTGGGAGATTAACTGAAAGTATGTGAGGCTGAGAGCAGTGATGTTAAATGTTGTCTTTTCGGACGTATTGATTATTCTATCCATTGCAGATCCCTTCAAGTTGATTGGATGTCTCCAGGGAAGCCAAATGGCATTATCCTCGGATATGATGTCTTACGTAGAACATGGCATTCATGCCCTAAAACTCAGAAGTTAAGGAAGGACCACAGTGGTGAGCTCTGCAAGGCAGTGAAGTGTCAAAAACCTAAAACTATCTGTGGAGAGAGGTGCTATTCTCCAGAAGCTCAGGTATATCTTCTCATATGAGTCAGTGAAATATATTTTTCTCACTAAACACTCCAGGTGAAATCACTTGCTTCTTAAACCATGGTTTGTCATGATCAATTTTTCCACTAGTCTATCAGGAAGACCCCGTGGAAAAGAAAGGATGCTTATAAAAACCCTCTCATCCTCATGAGCATCTTAGCCTTCTCATTTTTCATCATCTTCACAGGAAACATTAGTTTATTGAAATGGTAAGGAACTCCCAAATTTGTATTTGATTGAATGACTTGAATTTTCCTTACAACAAATCCATTCAGCTACAAGTGCCTGTTGTTTACATGACACTGATGAGTAACTGCGAGCAGGACCTTCCATGGTTTGTCAGAAATATTTTAAAATTATGGCCATTTGCAGATTAATGTTCATATTAGTTGCAGTTTAGGAATCAGATCAATAGCACAGCCAGACAGCGGAGTTTGTAAATGGCTTTTATTGACAAATGATGCAGAAAATCCTTACTTTGAAGGTAGGATTTCATCTAATGAAATAATGTTCCTATTTGTCAACAACAACATCACACATTTAATGACCAAAGCTGTTACTAAATTCAAAAGATTCACTGCAAAAAGACACAGTAATTAAGAAAGTGAGTTGTTGAAGCAATATGGATCAAAATACAAATGATTACAGCTGACACTGACCAAGCAGTGGCTTTCATCTAAGAAATGTTATAAAACTAGCAGTTACTAACTATACTTTTTTTTGACACATAGGCTCCAGAATTGCCATTATGCCTAAGTTTTACATTATTTTAGGCCATTAAATGTACACAATGAATCATGGAACACTACGTCAAAAAACTAATGATGTAATGTATGGTGATTAACATAATAAAAAAAACTAAAAAATAAAAAAATAAAATAAATGTATACTACCTGATGAACATACCTCCATAAAATAAAATTAAATTTAAGATTTTTGAAGGGGAAAATGCTGGAATAAATTTGCCCATTAAAAATGTTCTCTAGGGGGGCGCCTGGGTGGCTCAGTCGTTAAGCGTCTGCCTTCGGCTCAGGTCATGATCCCAGAGTCCCGCTCCCCCTGCTTGTGTTCCCTCTCTCGCTATGTCTCTCTCTGTCAAATAAATAAAATAAAATCTTAAAAAAATGTTCTCTAGGAGAAAGAAAGAAATCTTTGATGTATTAAGCAAAGGCTTATTTTTATTTTAAGGATTAAGGACATACACAGGTATCGACAGTTAAAGAGAATAAAGGAAGTCAATTAAAAATCTCAAAAGAAAGCAATTGTTTGTAAATTTCTGTTTAGAGTTAACTATGAATATATATTTCTTGGGTGAGAAGTTAGAAAGAGATAGAAAAGAAACTAAGAATTTTTTGGCTAAATCACCACAAATATCAGGAGGATCTGAAACACATATGCAAAATTTACCATGTATTCAAACCCCAGTGAACATCAGACCTGGAAGGCTTGTTAAAACACGGGTTGCTGGTCCCACCCCCAGAAATTCTGATTTGGTAAATCATGGGTGGAGTGTGAAAATTTGCATTTCTAACATGTTCCCAGGTGATGCCTTTGCATCTGTTCCAGGAACCGTATTTTGAGAATCACTAGATTACAGACTTGCTTTAGGAAACTATAGAGCAAGGAAAAGGCTATTTATATACTAGGTACACATTTATCAACTCAAGTTATTGAAATTTCCATGTATGTTTTCTGAGGCAGCTAACTTGAAAACTGAATTAGAAGATTAAGAAATATTCTGTTTACGTGGAGAACTCCCAAGAGGAATAATTGCTTGAGCATGTCACTTTGGGGACCCACAAATGATCTAAACCCAAGGGCGCTAGAAAAAATTTACAAGTTTCATGTGGCTAAAGGAGTCTGAAAATGGCAATGGAAGGATGGAGTGAACCAGTTCTAACGTGTCAACACTAAATAAACATTCCAGTGAAAATTCCACAAGAAAATGATAAGGACTAGAGAAGCTTACTGAAGAAAAAGGCTAGATGTGCTTCAGTGTCTAGAAATGCACTTTATGAGAATTGGACTTTAACAAGTGCTTTAAGACCACACAACAAAGAGCAAGATTTTAGGTCACTGTCATACAACAAGAGGAGGGTATGCGTTGTTTTACCTTGAAAACAAAAATGACCAGCATCCTTAAATCCCAAATAAACACATAACAATTTTTTGCTTAAGTCTTAAACATGGGGCATAATTTCAAAATTTACTTTTCACACAGAGTATGGCATTGAAGAGAAGGATCACCCAGTTTATCTTTGGCATTAGACTAATTTTGAATCCTCACTGCTAATAACTAAATACAGAAAAGGAAATTCATTACAGTTGGTTTAGCATGGCTACCTGAGAAACCGCAGGAGTATACTTTGAATTTAAGAGCCCTATTTCTTTGTTCTTTGATAATTTTTAAAAAATGAATGAAGTCTATGCTAATGGTGTTTTGAAGACTTAGTCCATGTTCTACCACCTTATACTGAGCTTGATTCACAAGTTGGTGCAAGCTAGAAATAGCAAAGTGCAAAATGGAAAAAGAGAAACCTCTAAATAGTGGTTGATTTTGCCTGCCACAGGAAGCTTCTATCTAATTAAAGTGACTTATGCCTAGTGTAGGTTTTGAGGCTACTTTTCAGCAGCTATTTAGCATTTGATTTGTTATATATACAGAGTGTCAGTCTCTCAGACCTCAAGTGAGCGTGCAAATAATTATTTGATTGTTCAAGCACATAATTTCTTCTACAGCTCCTGGAAAAAACACATTGTTAAAAGGGCTTTCCAAAATTAATTTCCATATAAATTTCTTTTTTTTAATATGGTGGCCTATGGCATATACATATATATGTATCATACATACACATATATATGTAAATGTTAGACTTTGTTGAGATTGCCTTGTCTGAAGATTGGGTTCGTAAATAAGTGATCATATAAATTATAAGGAAAGGGCTATTTATTAAAAAAAAAGATCAATAAAAATAGGTTTCCATAAATGTATTTTCAAATTAAACGGTCATTAAAATAGAAACGTATATATGAAGACAATTGTTCATTTACAATTCTAAGTCTTCTTTATATTGGGAGCACTGACATTCAAAGGAGAATTCATATTTATAGAGTGTGATAACAGAGCACAAAGCATGATTGAAGTCTAAAAAAGCTACATTGTATCAAATAGCATATATAGAATTTAAATGATGCTGGGAAAATGCATTTTTCAAACTTCTGAATTTTTATCCATAATAGACTACATTTGGTCTCAGGTTAAGTCCTATTAGAATATAATTGTATCACATGAGATATGACGGTATATTACTTTTAATTAAACTGATATTTCTTTAACCCCAATTCCCACCTTCAGGTTTGTTGTAATGGAGTTCTCTATGACCCCCAGCCTGGGCACCACTGCTGTGAAGAGAAGTATATCCCATTCATTTTGAATTCAACTGTGGTTTGTTGTGGTGGCCGAATACGAGAGGCTCAACCAAATCATCACTGCTGCTCTGGCTATTACACTAGAATTCTACCAGGTGAGGATCATTTCCAGGTGTACTCAGTGTTGGGGAGCAAGAATTCCTGTCCTCTTTAAGGTCCTTCTAGCTGGACTAAAATCAAATTGACAGGTGACAGATTAACAGGAAAAAATCAAATTTAATACTGTGCCTACAAGGAATTCACACAAATATGGAAATTCCAAAGACAGTCAGACAAATGAAGTCTATATGTCATTCTGAACTAAGGGGAAGGGGGGAGGGACCTGGGACATCAGAGGAAAGGAACGTACTTCATAGAGTGATAAGAAGAAAAGCAGATGTTTGGTAATTAGATGTTTGCCCTGCCAATACAGATGGGTCACTCAGATGAAATTTATCTCTGCTAATGACCCTTATTCTGGGAAAGACCCCCAGTTTGGATTCTTCTATGTAGTTAAGGGAAGAGTAAAATTTTCTCTTCAGTCTGCACGGTCTCGATTGCTTTTAGCTCAAAATAATCGTCATGCCATTGTGGTCCATCTTGGGCGGCTGCCCTTGGCCCTTCCATCAGTAATCTGGGAACCTGAAAAAGCCAACACATGATATGCCTGTCAACTATTTCAAGCACCTCCTCAACAAAAATTTAATGACTAAAACATAACCAATGACCTACTTTAAATATTATTTCTTCTTTCAGCTTTGTTGAAATCTAAGCAAGACGAGGTAGGTACTAAAAGAGAGGGAATACAAGGGACTTACGGTATCTACCACATGAGGAAATATATCAAGACCTGGGAACTCCCTTTATTTTGTGACTTTATTTCATTCACATGGCTAAATATTTTCACCATAAATTCTGTGAATTTCTAAGTGTTCCACTCCATGAAGCCATTCTTCATTTCCTCCATTTCTATTCTGAACTATGCATGCATTGTCCCTGGATGGATTATAAACACAAACTCGATGTATCAGAGACGAGTCCACTGTCGGGCTAGGTAGGGCAGAAAGAGGGTTGCCGTAAAGAATAGCAAACAGGGGGTTTTCCCTCCTTACCCTTTTTTTTTCTTCTATTAGCTGACTGAATAAGCACTGTCCAAATTTCAACTACACAAAACAATATAATTGAGAATAAAGATAATAACAGTTGGTATTTATAAAACACAAAGTCTGGGGCACAATCTGTATTTAAAGGTTTCACATATGATACCTTAGGTACTTCTCACAACTGTAGGAGATTGGTATTTTATCTAAAGTTTATAAATAAGGAAACAGATTCAGAAAGGATCAGTAACAAAGCCAGATTCAGATAGGTGGGAGTGGAAGAGCTGAAGGGAACATCTCAGCGTTTCTTCCCAAAATCCATATTCAACCCTACTTACTCCTTTTTTTAAATCTGTTATTTACTTTATTATTTTTTCCAAGTTTTTATTTAAATTCCAGTTAGTTAACATACAGTGTAATATTAGTTTCAGGTGTAGAATTTAGTGATTCATCACTTACATATAATACCTGGTGCTCATCACAAGCGCCCTCCTTAATACCCATCACCCATTTAACCCATTCCCGCCACCCACCTCCCCTCCAGCAACCCTCAGTTTGTTCTCTATAGTTAAGAATCTGCGTACCCCGATGTTTATAGCAGCATTATGGGAAGAGCCCAAATGTCCATTGACTGATGAATAGATAAGGAAGATGTGGTGTATAGAATATTACTTAGCCATCAAAAAGAATGAAATCTTGCCATTTGCAACACCATGGATAGAGCTAAAGGGTATTATGCTAAGCAAAATAAGTCAGTCAGAGAGAGACAAATACCATATGATTTCACTCATATGTGGAATCTAAGAAACAAAACAATAGGGAAAAAAAGAGAAAGGCAAATATTTACTCTTATTTAACCAAAATATGTTAATATGTGTTAACATAGTTTTAAAGTGACTATTTCAGACTTCTAAACATCTTCATTGCCACCCCTGGCAGTTACTGGTAAATATCCTGGAAAAGCCATTGACATACAGATTTTTTTTCCCTTCCACCTAAGTTTAATGCCTATGTCTTCAGAAGCACAGAAAACAGATATGGGACAAAGAGAAGAAAGCTAAGTGTTCAGATGCCCAAAGAAAACTGAATGCTTTGAGATACCTGGTTTAACAGGGAATTTATGCCAAACATCCAGTTAATTCAGGTTATTGTTCAGTGTACCTTGTGTTTGGCATAAATACATTTATCCAAGGTATGTGAATGGAGAAGTTGTCTTACCCAGCATCCCTTTTGCAAAAAATGCTGGAGCAAAAAGGGAAGGTGAAGTAATTAAATATATATAAGCTTATTCAAGGCAGAGACTATCTTTCTACTCTTCATAATTTTTCCTTAATACTAATAGACAAATCTGACAGCAATGCTGTTATTTCTTATTCTCTTGCAAAAATACTTTTATAATTTAATAACTCTTAATCAGCTAGATTTCCCAAGTAAGAAAACACAACGGTGATGGAAATAAGGCATTTGTAGAAAAGGGTTAACTTCTTTATCTGGAAATCATCGTGTTAGGAACTAATCAAATTCTGCCAAATGCTTTACTCTCTCAAAATAGTTTACACTTTGGGAGTTTTCTACTACATTTCCTATCTTCTTTCCCCTGCAAAAAGTGGCCCTGAAAAATATAATTAAATTGATGAGATGGGCATGTTCTGTTGTTCTCTTCTTTCTCGTTGTTCAGACCAATGGACCATACCAGGCTTTTCTCTAATTCTAACACAGAACTAAATAATAGTGGCTTTATTCCAAAGTCACATTAAAATTTTTAATGTTATGATTTGCAGTGAACTGTTTAAACTCTGAGAAAATATTCTCTGTCCCTTAACATTGATGAAAAATAATTGGTTGTGTCCATCATGACTATTAACTCTTAGATTTGTCTTTCACCTTTCTCAATCCTAACACAAAGTGTCAGATTTCAAACTAAAAAAAAAATTCCAAGGTGCCTGGGTGGCTCAGTGAGTTGAGCGTCTGACTCTTGGTTTTGGCTCAGGTCACCATCTCAGGGTTGTGGGATCAGGCCCTGCCTTGGGCTCCATGCTCAGCACCAGAGTCAGCTTATGAATCATGGAACACTACATCAAAAACTAATGATGTAATGTATGGTGATTAACATAATAATAAAAATGAAAAAAAGAAAAAAAACCTCTCTCCCTCTTCCTTAGCCCCTCCCTGCCCTTGTGCTCTCTCCCTCTCTTTCTAAAAAAAAAAAAAAGAGAAAGAAAAAAATCCAAATAAAATTTAACTCTTTTTTCCTAAAAATAAAATAAGGCGTGGAAGTCCAGAAGTCATTTATTGACATTATACAAAACTTTTTAATAAGTAATTTTTTGAAACAAGAGTTTTCAAACCTTCATGATCTGCCTATGACACATGATCACTCAAACCTCAAACATTTTAATAACTTCCAAACTGTTGAGTATGGTCCGTATTTGGATTCCTTTTAAGTAGTTCATTTTTCACAGTATTAGAATGCCTACCATGGTGTCAAGGAAAAAAAATGCAATCTCATGGGATAATCAAAGAGAGTGTTTGCTGCAATCATTAATCTCAATGTACCTAAATGAAGAGATTATATTGTGACCTCTATCCTCAGCCAGTGGTCTTTGTTAACTACTTTAACACTGTTTACATCAAGAAAGAAAGCATAGTGACCCTATACCCATCTTGTATCTAAATGCAATTAAAATTCAATCAGTACTCTGTCAGTTCAAGGCTAAGATGGGTATAGGCATTTTGATATTTATAGATAAATCTGAAGTATTGGTTAATAATATTTACTTCATATTTTTCTCACAACTTTATAGAACCTTACAACAAAGAGTGGCAGAGGAAAAAATGCTTATTCCACTCCCCTTTTTTTATAAATATGCTAATGACCTCAAGCTAAATGTTAATGTGGGTCATTCTTTGATAAGAATAACAATTAACTGTGAAGACTGCATGGTAGCTTTTAGAGAGAAAACATTTTCAAGCCTGTTGTGAAATAGATTCATTTTGAGAGGTTAATGAGAAGGTGACTGATCCTTGTGTCTTATATCTAATAGACCTTTTTTGAGGGAAAAAAATCAGTTTTGTTTCTCATTGATATAATCCAAATCTCTTTTTATAAAGCCTTTTCTTCTGTCAGTGACTGAATAAGAAAATATCTAAACCAATTAATATTTGTTATCCTCAAAACTGCTTTTAAAAAAATGTTGGTTTGGGCGCCTGGGTGGCTCAGTTGGTTAAGCGACTGCCTTTGGCTCAGGTCTTGATGCTGGAGTCCCGGGATCGAGTCCCACATCAGGCTTCCTGCTCAGCGGGGAGTCTGCTTCTCCCTCTGACCCTCTTCCCTCTCGTGCTTTCTATCTCTCATTCTCTCTCTGAAATAAATAAATAAAATCTTTAAAAAAAAAATGTTGGTTTTCCACAATATATATATATAGATGTGGACACTATGTTTCTTCTAAACCCACCGTTGTCCTAAATGATATTTAATTAACTGGTGCTGTCCCTCTACCATGTGGTATGTTATGTTAAAGAAAGTTTGCCAAGAAGATACACTGCTCTCTGGCTGTGGAGATTTAAAAAATATAGCAACCACATTTGAGACCAAGTTTGAAAATCCTTTTACCCAGAGGAATGTAACAAGTACAATAACTTTACTGTTCACAGTAAGCTCATTCCTCCTTCATTGGCCTCTAGTAGAATCAGGATGAAAAATTTAGAATTTTCTTCTGCTTATACATACCATGCTATAGGATCTTTTCACTCTCTCTCTCGATTTCTCTCTGACAAATAAATAAGTAAAATCTTAAAAAAAAAAAGTGCTCCTGGATGGCTCCCTCATTTAACTGTCTGCCTTCAGCTCAGGTCATGATCGAGTCCCACATCAGGCTCCCTGCTCAGGAGAGAGCCTGCTTCTCCCACTTCCTCTGCTGCTCCCCTTGCTTGTGCTCTGTCTCTCTCTGTCAAATAAATAAATAAAATCTTTAAAAAAAAAAAAAAGGAAAGAAAGAAGCCAGTCTCAAAAAGTT